AGGAAGGAAGGAAGGAAGGAAGGAAGGAAGGAAGGAAGGAAGGAAGGAAGGAAGGAAGATTAGCTAAGCAGAAGCTTTTAGAAATAAAAGACATGGTCTTTTAATTTCAGCTGCTTTAATAAGAGGACCATATTTGGTAGCTAAGAAAAGGTAATTATTTAAGATCTGTTCCATTCTGAACTGCTGGAGAATTAGTGACTGCAAGATTAACTGACATAGTATATATGAGATGAAATAACCAAATTATAACTAAATATAACTAACACCTTCAATACAACATGCTTAGTGAGATACTGCCAGATAATTAAGCACAGATTGAACTGCATGTTTATTTATTCTTATACCCAATCAAATGTTTCTTTAAAAAAATTCCAAAATGGAGGATTCTACATGTAATGAAAAAATGTAAAATTGTGCACATTTTTCTAATCTCATGCAATGTTGTACATTTCAAAATTTCCTTTTAGAATAGTGCATTCCAGCTATTTCTATGCAATGTTATTTTGATAAAATAAATAGTAATACCCTTATAAAATGTTGACGGTGCAATATGCATTACAGATAAGGTTTCAAAAGGGTTTTCTTGAATATCCAAAAAAGCAGCAAAAAAAGAGAGGAAAAATATTGACATGGTAAATATGTTTTGATCAGTACTTTGCCATCTACTTTCTGTCCTTTAAGTAAACAGAATACATACATACATAAATTTTCATAAAATATGACAACAGAATAATAAATAACAAAATGAAATCAGAAATTCATTTTATAAACTTCTTAAAAAGTTTGTTCTAGTTGTCTTCTAGCACTCCAAAGACTACTTCATGGAATCTTTTGTTCCTCCTGGACAAAGAATTAATAGCGAGTCCCTTAAAGGCTTACCAGAAAAAGAATTTGTAGTACTCTTATGTAGAAGTGAATACAAAATAACAATACAGGTACTCCTCAACTTACAACAGTTCATTTAGTGACCATTCAAAGTTACAACGGGACTGGGGAAAAAGGTGACTTTTTGCAGCATCTCCATGGTCATGTGATCAATATTCATATTTGGCAACTGACTCATATTTATGATGGTTGCAGTGTCCTGGGGTCATGTGATGACCTTTTACCACCTTCTTGCAGACAAAGTCAATGAGGAAATCAGATTCCCTTAACCCACTGTGCTATTAACTTAACACAGGGATTCATTTAACAACCGTGACAAGAAAGGTTGTAAAATGGGGCAAAAATTACTTAAATGTTATGCTTAGGAACATACAGTACATTTTGGGCTCAATTGTAGTCACACATTGAGAATTAGCTGTGTTGCTACACTTAAATTACAGCTTAATGACTGAGACAGCTGAGGATGGCCCTAGAAAAGTAAACACTTAGAATGTGAAAATGTATTTAGAAAGCATAAAGTTTCTCCCCAACTGTACCTATGTGATTGGGAAACTTGAAAAGGTTTTGTTTTGCATATTAAAGTATTACTTTAATATAACTTTGAAATATAACTTAGGTTTCAGTTAAACCTGCTTTCACAGTGATGAAAATATCTACAATAGTAAAATTAAATTCTACTGAAAATGTTGTAAACATAGATGTATATAATTTAACTTATTCAATTCAACTATCTTGAATTATTGATAAAAATAATAAACATGGAATAAAAAAACTAAAAAGAAAAAAATATTGGTGTGCCAGTTGCCCTGTTGTCTAGCAGCATTCTGGATTAAATAGACTTTTGGTATCAGGAGTCTGCAACATCTATGGCAGTAGAGTGGGAATAAAATTACAAAAGAGCTCAATACATGCAGCATGAAAAAGAAATAAAATAATTTATTCATGGCTCTCATTTTCCTACCATCTTTATTTCACTAGTTACAATCCTTGTACTATCTATGGATATTGCAATTCTGCATTAAATATTGTAACTCAATTCTGACTTTGACAATAATTTTAGAAATTATAAAACTCATTGCTAATAGTATATTAACAAGATAAGAAATTTTGAATAAATTATAGGTGTCATGAAATGTTAGGATTACTTTCTTACTTTCAATTCTTAAACTATATATACACAATACAATGCCAATGAAATAATTGATACTGGATACAGTAAAATGATATTGATATGGTTTAGATTAGAAAACATTTTCTAGCTACCGGGTAGCAGCATATTGCTTGACTGTTCCACAGAAATTTAGCACCCAGTTTTAATCTCTGAGGTGGAACAAGTTAGATATGTCGGAATATATAAGTAATGAAAGCTAGAAAATTACTTTGGAAACCACTGAAGATGATGGAAATATACAAAGCAATCAGAATATTTTTATTAGGTTTCCTTTCTAGAAAACATTTTATTTATATACATATTCCTTTCCACATGTCCCTGTACCTGTCTATTTTTCCCTGAATCTGCTTTGAAATATATCTTATAATTAAGAACTATTTTGGGCCTACAGAAAGAGCTAGAAGAAATAGAATTTCCATCAATGAAAAAGATTAACTGAATAAGTTCAATGCTTTCTTTTGTTTCATTGCTATTTAAAAGAGAAGGGTAAAATGCTATTAACTACTATCTGGAATAAATAATAAATAATATTCAGCAAGCCATTACCATACTTTTTACTGGTACTTATATCTTAGTGAAATATTTTAGCAAATAAACTTTAGTATGTATCACATTCATTAATGAAACAGTAAGAAAAAATATACTAAATTACTGAGCTGTTTAGTTCTCTGGAACAGTAATGTGTACAATCCTACATCAGTGTTTTATTAGTACAGTACTTTGAGGAGGTCAATAATAGACACAAGGATATGTGATAAAGAGTGCTGATAAAGAGTGTTGCTGAATTAGAACTTCCAGCAACCCTATTCAACAATAGACCAACAATCCCGGAAGGCCACGTTTACTATCCTTCCATTACATAAATAAGAAAACATGGCTTGTGGAGCTGATGTCACGGCAATACAGAGGAATCCTTAGGAGCTCCTAGGGAGGACGTCGAAATCCCGAAAGCTGGTGATCTATTGGACCTAAATCATCCCGGAGGGATGACGATTGAGGATAGGACACTCTGCTGATCCCAGGGATATCACAATATCCCTGGTAGATCCAGAGATAGCCTCTCTAGCCAGCTTAAAGGGAAAGCAGTCATTGCGAACCACTACAAGGCAGGGACAGTCTTCGACGGAAAGAAAAAAAAGAGAAAGTGTGTTCGAACTAGGTGAGAATTTAAAGGCTTTTTTCAAAATCACAGAAAAGAGCTCCCTGGGAAGAAA